TTGTGGCAGGTACGGGCTCATGGTAGAACAGACATAGCAGGTCGAATTTCCTCAGGGCTTTCTTGTAGCTGCGCTCGTTGATATCCAGCACTCGGTCCCTGCCATCAAAGTTGGGGAATTCCAGACCTTCCTCTGCAGCACAAAGCACAATGAAATAAATGCCGAGGGTACAAAGCAGAGACAGGCGCATTTCCAGCACTGTTGTCCGGCGATGAGAGAGGGAAAAGTAATTAGCAGGTATCAAACATTTAAGTTTTAGCAACGGTATTCAAAAAGCTTGCACAAAGTGTATCACGATGGCCCCAGTTTGTGCTCCTCTCAGCTATCGCTCTCTACATTCTCTATCGACCTGGGCTTACTCTCCTCTCTCCATCACCTAGTTAAATCTCACAGGAGGCATTTCTCTCCTCCTCCTCACCCATATACAAGACAGACATTCGTGATGATTATTCTGTCTGTCTGTCTACTGCATCTACTATATATAATGTATATTTATAGTACAGTAGGTATTGTAAAGTGCTCTATAAATACAGTTGAGTTGAGTTGTTTCTTACTCTGAAAACAAAACAACATTTTGGGTCAAACAAAGAAAAATATATTTTTCAAAAAAACTCAATTGAGCTAAATTGAATCCAAATAAGTGGACACATTTCCTATCAAACCCGTTTGAGCCCTTTCGATTCAGCATTACGGTAGGTAAGGATTTGTGGTGGACATTACCGTAATCCGTGCTCTCAGACAGAAGTAGTCGATGCCAGATGAACACACGCCTCTTCCAAACTCAGACAAAGCTTTCAGATCGAGGAAAATGGAGCGCTGCTATCTGTGGGTCTTTGTATTTGTGCTGCAAGGGTGCATTTTGTCCCTGCTTTGTGAAGCAGGTACTGTACTGCGATTTTTTTGATGGCGATTGTGTATTTAAAACAAATCCAAACGAGTTCGTTTTCGCTACATTTAACTTTATGTGCTCTTTGTTTATTCATTAGCTTGCGAGCTAGCTAGCTAGCTCCAAACTAACCAATGTAAACTATAACTACTCGGAATAACCATTCGGTCACTTTTACATGTTTGCACGAGTGTGCCTTTTTTGCCCCACATCGTATAAATCCTCATTAGATAATTATGTTTTACTTTGTACTATTTGTTTAATTGATTGTGGTGACATTTTTCTTATCTTCTTTTTTTTTTGACACGCGAACTCTGCTTCAACTGTTGAGCCAGTTACAATGTAGTTTAGGTACATTTTTACAGAACTTTTCAGATGAAAGTCAATCTCAAAAATAAATGTGGAGGATATGTTAAGGTCTGATGAAATCAAAGTTGAACGTTTTGAACATCATTCCAAAAGTTATGCTTGACAAACACAATCCTGGTCATCACCCAAAGAAGAACACCATCCCTAACCTTCAGGAGGCACGATGTTGGCGGTAAAAAAAAAAAAAAAAAAAATTGCAATATATCCCTTTGTGTTGAAATGTTGGGCCTTACATGGATACATATTGTATTGGTCAAAAAACATATCATTACACCCCAAAAAAATACGGTGTCTCCTCGTGACATATGTTTGTGTTTGCGTGTGTATTCACTCACTGAGATAGAAGAAGTTTCCAGGCAGCGAATTTTGACTCAGGTTATTATAGGTGAGGTCCAAAACTTCAAGTGCTGGCAAAGAACCAAACCCTCTGGGTAAGTTGTAAAGGCGGTTCATTCTGTGCACAAAATTCAAACATTTTTTTTTTTTTTTTTAAACTACACATACAAAGAAGCATCAACAGACAGTACTGACACTGACTTTGCTAAATTTTATTCACATTTTCCTGTTTGAACACAGGAAAAAAGAACAGGTGAGGCACCAACAAGGCAAGCCTCTCCTCCTAGCGCAGGGAATCAACAGGTTGCACTGGCACATGACTATGGCAGTCTTTTTTCCTCGAGCCCCATCATCCAATGCGCTCCACAGTGTGATGAGTTGCGTTTCTTTGAGGTTTCGGCATTGATAATTAGATGTTCATATTATTTCAACTCAACTCAACTGTGTTTATAAAGCACCATAAAACAAAAACTTACCAGAAAATCAGGGTACCGTAGTATACATGGGTACAGAGAAAAAAAATATGTTTAAGGTTGATTGACAGTTGTGTATTATGTGGATTTTATGGGACCTGTGGATGAACTGCTGAAGTTTGTGGTGAAAATTTTTGCATGTACCTCACTGGGTCCATTCACTTGAATGGGTGCATTCAAGACATCTTTCCAGAGTCGCCAACCTACTGGAATTTCCTTTCAGAACGATTTGTCTGAATTTCCATATTTTTAACCTTTTGTCAAGAACATGACCACAGGACACTGTTAGCATGTCGTTGGATTTTTTTTTTTAATCTGCAAACTCTTAAATGACATGAACTAATCATGACTCCAGAATAATGGAATCAGAATTCACTTTAATTAAATTATTGCATCAACCACATGATGATGAGAACGTCGTCACATAAAATGACATAACCATTTTTTTAAATAATTAGGAATCTGGTGCAAATGAGGCAGGGACATATTCAATAAAAAGAGGAACTATTGTAAGAAACATGCATGTGTAACGTACCCGAGGTTAAGGTGTTTCAATTTCTGAAGACTGCTAATTTGAGTTGGTAGCTCTTCAATTTGGTTGTTGAACATGTTGAGAACCTCCAAATTTTTCAGCTCTGAGATGTTCGGAGGCACCACTACAAAATATGAGAAAGGCAAATGAACATTCTAGGTCACAGACATGTCCTTCATTCTAAAACCTGTTCAAGGAGAAAGTCAATTATAAATATCATATCATAAATCTCAATATTTTGAATGTGGTACAATACATTATTTTGAGTGGACAGAGCACGAACACAAATAAAATTTGCGTCCATGGGCTGTCACTTACATAGCGCTTTACACAGTTTTCCTCATTGACTTACTGATGACCCAGCATCAGGGGCAACTGGTGGTATCTTGCTCAAAGACACTTTGACACGGGAGGGGATTGAAGCCCCAACCTCTGGGATGGGAGTCGATCACTCTACCACTGAGCCATGACGCCCCAAATAAATGACATAAATTACATACCCATAATACCGTATTTTCCAGACTATAAGTCACGCCTGAGCATAAGTCGCACCAGTCATAAAATGCTGACACATATCTATCTATTTAATCTATCTACACACATAGACACATTCGGTCGAGGTCCCTCTTAGCCAATGGGCTGCCAGGAAGATGCTCGGGAATAGCCAATGGCAGAGCAGCTATACGTATGTTGCGTTCAGGAAACTTGGAGCTGTGAGCAGCAGCCGATACTGTATTTTTACCTTCCGTATCTTGAAATTTCTTTCGTAACTAGAGGAAATATTTCGTAAATTGAAAATTTCACATGAAGAGACATTCATAAGTAGAGGTCCCACTATATTTAATTGGGACACAAAGGCTCAAATCAAATTCCCTTGGCTCCGACGCGATGAGGTGCATATTATACAAGGGATTTTCTGGTATATCCAGTAAGCAAGAAAAAGATAGAATTAAAAAAAAAAAAAAACACTCAGCATTGGTAAAACGTACCATGGCATTAAAAAATACATTTACACTGCATTAAACAAATAAAATATTTTTTACATGGCTTACCTGTCAGCTTGTTGTGACTCAGGACCAGTTGAGTGATGTTGGACAAAGTGACTAAAAAGAAAAGGAATATAAAATGAATCAAAATGATGCACAATGCACGGGAAGTACCTCAAAATTTGACAAAGTCACAGCAATTCCATTTTGGCAGGTTGAAAATCCTTAGTTTTGAGGAAAAACTTGAAAGCGGCGTGCCCAACTTTTTTTGACCGAAGATCGACTTTTCAAGCCAACCAACCTTCCGCGATCGACCGTTACTGCACGCGCACACGCCATGATTAGCAACAGCCATCATGGCCCTGAACATGAACGAAACAGAAATATTAAGTAGAGTGGAGTGATCCCTCGCTATATCACATTTAACTGCATTCACTACATTGCGTTTTTTTCCAAGGAAATATTCAGAAAGAAATGCCGAATGACTCAGAGGTTATGTACGTGACTGTACACATGATTGGTTCCCGGCGCGACGTCGATCACTGGCAGCACAAGTGGATTTATCCCGTCAGCTGTTTGGTTGCGCATCTTCGCAGCCCCGCCCAGCACCTTCCCATTGTGTCTCGTCACGCTGTTGACTCTTTGATTGTTTGCCTGCCTCTCTCTGGCATACTTTTATCTGATGTGTTTGCTACATGCGCGGTTTACTGATATTTTAACATGGATGTTTTATCTCAAATGCACCAGGTCACACAAAGAAAATAAAAATGATTTGATGGTTCAATACAACGTAATACGAAAGGAACACATCAACACTTTATTCATACGGTGCAGTACTGAAATTACTCAAAACATGCATTGCGTGAATGAGAAGACTCAAAATCAATCATCCTTTCATTCGGCAAGGTTTACCGAATTCATCCATCCATTATCAAAAGCACTTATGCTCATATAATTTTATTTTCAGTCCATGTAAAACAGCATCAACTGGAAATTTGTAGTTACAACTTTGCCATGGTCGCTGATAGCTCATTTGTCAATGATGGAAGTGAAATGACATCATCGAGAAGTGGTCAAAACATTACAGTGTTGACAGTATACAGTATTACATTATTGCATACAAGCAATTTCAAAACTTTTACTTGAAATCCCAATTTGCTTTACTATCATTCTGCACTGGTGGGAAGTGCTACCATGTCAACAAGTGTTTCGCCATTGTGTGTTACCGGAAACATGCTTGTGTCCAGTATTTATTTAAAAATGTGTGCGTGCATATATGTGTGCAATATGCATTGCTGAAAGGTCAGTGGTTAGTCAATAATTGTTTGAGTGACTTATTCTTTGAAGCATTAATATTTAAAATATTTACAGTTGAAAAGAAATAATAATAAGTCCTGTGTGCAGTCTTGCTGCAATGTGCCGGACAGAATTAGAAAATTAAGATAAATTGTTCAGGAAGGAAGGCGGAAAGGAAGTAAATAAAAGACTGTCACAACAGATATTGTATGCGTTATAACCATCCATTTTCTGAACCGCTTTATCCTCACAAGCGTTGGGGGGGCGGGTATGCTGGAGCCTATGCTAACTGTCTTCGGGCAGTATGCGGGGTACACCCTGAACTGGTCGCCAGCCAATTGCAGGGCGCACAAAGACGTACAACCATCCGCACTCACACTCAGGGACAATTTAGAGTGTGCCGTAAAACTAAACCCTGCATCTCTGCACTGTGATATCGACTTGTTAACCATTGGACCACCGGGTCGCTTATAATCTATCATATATTTATTCATTAGTTAATTAACTGAACGATTTGCTCTTATCCAAAAAATGTATTATTTTACATAATTGTTGATGTTTGGAACTCAATTCATAATAATGTGATTTCTTTCATCAAAATTAACATATTTTGTGTGTGTGTATACTGTATCTATCTATATTTTTATGTATATATATATGTATACACTTACAGTATATCAATAATCTATGAGGTACAATATATTTAATTTAATGACTAAAGTACTGTTTATTATTCTTGACAAATATTGTAGCACTATTTCAGTGTTTAAACTGTACATATTCGAGCAACGCTTATAATAATATGAAAAGTACTTATTAGGGAAGTTTAAACTGTACATATTCGAGCAACGCTTATAATATTAAAAGTACTTATTAGGGAAAAAAATATCTTTACTGATTTAAAACCTTTTCGTTCCAGCCTCGTAATTTTTTTCTGCCTAAATTTCAGGGGCGTAATCGGTACAGAGACACAGTACAGTATTTTCCTCTGGGTTCTTTTACTTTACGACGAGCTTGCAAAGTAAACTCGTGCATTCTTACAGAGTCCGGGAATATCCAGCATGTTCGAAATGCCTCTGTCACACATTTCGACGTCTGGAAGGTTCTTCTCCCGACTCTCATCCACTATTTTCTTCAATGACTTGGACATTTCTGATGATGAAAAAGAGGAAGACTGTTTAACACTCGCTGTGACTCACCCTCGGGGAAAAAAGAACGACAAGCAAATACAACCAAGGTAACACAATGTATAAGAAATAAAAAACTTACCGTTGATAAATATGGACTTGAAACAATTTTTTAATCGCTTCAATCACTTGCTACGCCTTTCTTGAGGTCCAAACTCACCATACCAAAAAAGGATATGGCGTTCCACAATCGCTCTTCTTCCAATACTGTTTTGGCACTCCCAATGGGGGGACAAAGCGTAATGCTGCCCTCCACAGGCAAGACCAAAGACATCAAGTCCCATCAGAGATCCCACCCAGGAGACGACGACGACGATACAGAGAGGAGGGATGGAGGGAGTGAGAGAGAGAGAGAGAGAGAGAGAGAGAGAGAGAGAGAGAGAGAGAGAGAGAGTGTGTGTGTGTGTGTGTGTGTGGTTTGTGTGTGTGTGGGGGGAGTGCCATTTAAATGGTGGCGGGGAGCCCGCCACTATTCAGCAGCACTACCAGAGGTTGACTGCATACTTTTAAACCTGACAAAAGGCAAAAAAATGGCATTTTGAATGTGGTTAAAATGTGCGTACATGTCTGTTTTGTTTTTAATTGGACACTTTACAACACGTATCGTCATACAACAAAAGGTTGGAATCAAACAACAAAATAACCACATGCTGTGTTTTTCCTAGCATAAAGGGCTCTCCTGCCATTCAAGGGATGGCACAAAACTGTTGAATAAAAACACATTTGTTCAAAGACCAGACGCATCATTGTGATAGGCGCCAGTACAAAAACATTTTGTGCCCAGACCACTGCCCTCAACAAAGTCCATGCACACACACACACACACACACACACACACACACCTATACACACCCACACACACACACACACACACACACACGCACACACACACACACACACACAGCACTCGAGAACACCGCGATTGTCACCATTTATTTTTACAGTTTTTTGCTATTTTAATTTTGTGATTTGTACGTTGCGGCCCAGTCGTTGACTGGTTAGCGCGTCAGCCTCACAGTGCAGAGGTGTCAGGTTCGATTCCGGGTCCAGGCTTCTGTGTGGAGTTTGCATGTTCGGATTTTCTCTGGTTTCCTCCCACATTTCAAAACATGCATGAACAAGTTAATGGAACACTTTCAATTGTCCCTTGGTGTGAGTATGAGCGCGTCCCTGCGATTGGCTGGCAACCAGTTTATGGTGTACCCCGCCTACTAACCGAAGACAGCTTTCCTTTTGAGGATAAAACCAGAAAATGGATGGATAGATCGATAATTCAAAAAGTCACAAGTTGAGAACAAAAGCTGTCCTTTAACATGACCACAGAGCAATGTGTCATGCAAGGTTGTTTTTTTTTTCACTGTAAATGTACAGTAATTAATTATAAACAACTGTGACATTAACCCACATTAAAAGAATACAAATTGGGAGCAGCAAATGAAATATCAGTAATGGCAACTTTTTGGGCCTCCATTAATCAACACTTGGAGATCAGCTGCTGTAGCAGTCTTGCCACCACGACAACATTGAGGCTGTTTCCGAGAAGTCTGTATCGCTGCTTGGTGTGGATTTGCTCTGGAAAGGCTAAAAAGAAAAGAGAATAAAAAAAGGCACATGAATTATTTCAACATGTAGCACTCAACTCTCCATATACAAATAGTTGCTCACGCTGTGTGTACAGTAGGAGGAGTCAGGGACGCCGGGGAGGAGTTTGAGGGGAGACAAGCAACTTTAGCTTTTTCACGCTGCGCTGTCATTGAGCTATTCTAAATACATCATATACAGTGAACAATTTGAGCTGATATTTACAGCTAAACAGATGAAATCCACTTTTTCTTTGCCATTCATGGTCATTTTGGAAGACAATATTGCAGTGGTTCCTCGGTTTTCTTCTGTCCATAAGGCATAGTTTTTTTTTTCATACTTTGGCCCGGGGTCCGACTTCTACTCTGGAGTGACTTTGTGAAATTATGAACACATGACAGTATTATATCATTTCAGGTGTTGTTTTCACATTACACCGCAGGAGGGCGCTCTAAGACTGTGTTCATGAGTCGAGAACGAGTCTGACTTAAGCGATTTAGAAGAGGAAGCTCGGCATCTTCAACCTCTGGAGTTCACGGAGTTGTTGAAAAGTGACACAGACGATGAAGATTTCATTGGATTTAGTGATTTGGAGCGGCACTGATATTTTGTGTGCCGACAGCCTTGAGGGTAAGCAAGTACAATACTTTGAAAAGCCTAAAACTTTTGGATAATTGTATCACCAGAGAACTAATAAATTGAACATCCGGCAGATTAAATACATTGACGAATACTTCCATTTCCCATTTATGATATGTACAGTGTACACAGTGTACTTTATGAAACTATGGCAGTCTTTCAAAAAAAAAAAAAAAAAAAAACCCTGTTCAACTTCAACTGCTGATGGTTATCATACTTACAAAAGCTTTTTGGGAAGCCCATGATGTTCGCTACTTCTCTGGGGGTAAAATAACGAAGCTTTAGTCTCTGCAGTTGTTGAAGTTTTTCTTCTTCGGAAAATTGGTCCAGATTTTTAAAAACACTCTCAATCTGCAAAGCATTAAAAAAAAAAAGTTAAATATTAAGCATTCGTTCACACAAACTAACACAAATAAAATCAGACCAAAGTTTGAACTTTCATTTTAAGCATACAGTGATACCTCTACTTACAAATGTTTCTTCATATGAAATTTTCAAGTTACGAAACACCCTTTTCGCCCCTCGGGTAATGAGGCATTCTTATAGTTTTACGGAAATGTGAATCACCCAGAAAAAGTGTTCAACAGTAGGGCGATCGCTCACGTTTGCCTTGGACATTTTCGAAGGATAGTAAAAAGCCAACAAAAGGAAACAGCTCTTTACAAAACGCCAGGCAAAAACCACTTTTGAGAGAAAACATGAACTAAAGAGGGCAAAAAACGATGAAGACGCAATTAAAAGTTAAATTACTGTCATTTTTATTCTTTATTCTTTGTTTTTTACATTATGCACAACTCATTTAATGTGCAATAATCTAATTGTAACATGTATTTGTTACATATTTTGATGCATTTTTATGCTTTAGAAAACATTTATGTCTGAATTTTGGGGGCGTTGGAACGGATTTACATGGAAAACGCGTCTCTACGTTCAAAATTTTCTAGTGAAGAAATTTCTTCCAGAACCAATTAATTTCGTAAGTAGAGGTACCACCGGAATTAATTATGTTTCAATACACACTGTAAAAATTTGGTACCACATCGTCCATTCATAAATAAGGAAAAACATGTTATTTCATAAACATTTCGAATCATCTGACATCTGAAAGGAGAGAATGAGCCTCAAATACCGGTAAGCTCATAGGGGCTCGTAAGTTAAAGTGCAGGCATCATCGATGTCAACGGGTTGTTGAAATTGTAATCGCACGATCACAACAAGCATGATGTCACACACGTTTAGTACGAGCGAAGTCGGAATGTCAGTGAACAACTGCTATCAACTGAGCCCTTGTGGTGAACTGGCCTCGGGTGCTGAATTTGTAAAAACTGCAATGTCGATAAGCTCCACCCTGAATGATTCTGTTCACGGAAAGTATTCAAAAGAAATTCCGATTTATTTCGGACACATGAACAGTACAGTATTGGCCCGAATATAAGACGGCCCTGATTATAAGACGACCCCCTCTTTTTCAAGACTCAAGTTTGAAAAAAGACTTTTTGAACACCAACTTAATTTTAATACAGAAAACAATTACACTACATCTGAAACAAATGATTATCACAATATATTTGAGAGAAAAAGCATGTTATTTTGCCTCATTCAAATCTTAATATCTGAACATTTAAATATGTAAACCAAAGTGCAATCACATTCGTAAATGAATGGCTTCCGGTTTTTGAAATTTAAATTACATCATAACTTCTCCTCAGCTGCCGGTTAACGTGGCCGATCTTCGACCCACTTTTCTCCAGATTGTCGCAATGTTTCTCAATTTTCTGGTGTCTCTTCTATTATTTTCTTCTTTGTGCTCCCACTATTTTTATTTTTATTCTTCGTGACAGGGGTTCGCTTTGGCCTGGGGAGTCAAGTTCAGCATTCGCTTCAATGGTATCTGGAACCATCTATCGTCGTGAATGGGTATAATGTTTAGAACCCGAATATAAGACGACCTCCACTTTTTCAGTCTTATTTCAATGCAAAAAACACCATCTTATATTCGGGCCAATACGTTTTTCTTACGTTTTTTTTTACAATTATTTTAAAAAATCATCCTGCTTCTATAATGTTATTTTGATGTGTGGGATCGGTACGCGCAGTGGCGACGACCCTCACACTCCTTGGAAAAGGGTTGTGAGGGCAGCCATGATCATTCTTGCCTTGAGCCGCAGTGGCCAACAGATGCCCATGCGTGCGCAATATATCATTTGTGATGCCTGCAGGCACCCCAGGCCTTTGAATATTTTGTGACACCAGGCCTCGAACTGTGCTGACATGTCTCATCTCAGTTCCTAATGGCAAGATCCCTAGTTGCAATGTTTTGTTTTCTTTTGAAATAATAAAAAATGAATAAATAAAAACACATACCTCTGTTTCAAGGCAGCCTTGCAATACTGAGCCAGTTCCTTCCACGTACCGCCCATAGCTTCCAATAAACACACACACACACACACACACACACACACACACACACACACACACACACACACACACACACACACACAAGATGTTAAATGGCTGGATAATGTGGACAAAAAACGAGATTCATAAACTGCGGAACAAGTTGTGTCCTTGGATGCAATAAAAAGCCACAACTACACTTCGAAAATCCTTGGAGAGAGTTGGCAAACTATCCATGCATCCATTTTCTAATCCATTTATCCTATCTAATCCCCACACACAACAGAAATTTGCCGCACGTAGAATGCCGAACGTATCATCTCGTGAATGGTCCATTCAGCCACGTGCTGTAATAGCGTGTGATGACAGGCAATGTACGCATTCTGGGTGGAGCAATCTATAAATAAGGCCGTTCCCTGTCAAATTTCACTGAGCGCGCATTATCTCAAAAATACACCTAATTTTCCGGACTGTAAATCGCTCCTGAGTATTCGTCGCACTAGCCATAAAATGCACAAAATAGAAGAAAACAACTTATATAAGCGGCACTGGAGTATAAGTTGCATTTTGGGGGGAAATGTATTTGATAAAAACCAACACCAAGAACAGAAATGTCATCTTGAAAGTAAAATAAAAATAAAAATAGAGAACAATAGGCGGAATAAGTGTACGATATGCTAACGTTACATGGCGCATAAAGAACGAACTAAGAAGGTGCCTGGTATGTTCACGCAAGATGTTACGAGTTATTCAAATAACTATAGCAAAAAGGACATGCCAACAAGTTGACCAAATCATCAGTTTCACTCCAAATCACTAAATCTGTGTCACTTTAAAACAACTCCTGAGGTAGAAGATGTGGCGCTTCCTCTTCGATGTCGCTGAAGTCAAAGTCATCGTCAGTTGTTTTATTAGTTCGCGCCAATGTGGAAAGTGGCCTAGAGCGCCCTCTTGCGGTTTAATGTAAGCATAACGTGAAATGATATCATGTGTCAATAATTTCACACAGAAGTCACTCCAGAATCTGAGTCGCAGCCCCGGCCAAACTGAAAAAACCTGCGATTTATAGTCCGGAAAATACGGCTATTGTCTTGTGTTTGCCAGAGGCTGCAGTCAGTCTCAGTGAGCCAAGGTGAAACATCACATTGCACATTTTGAGTCATTTTAGCTGCGCCGACGGCTATAAAGGACTGGTAATTGCTGACTTGGGGAAGGTAGGGCGGGCATTCACACGAGGCCCATATACGCCGTATTGTGTCCCTACAACATCACACCAATGGCTGAATAGACATATTAATGAATGAAAAATAATTCGGCTGACTCCCCTTCCATCTGCAAAGACTATTTCTGCATGCTGATGGATGATTGGAGTGTGAAAGTGCCGATCACATCAACTAGTCACCATAATGGGACAATGAGTTATAGATTTCGAACAATTTGTGATCATTTTATCGTATGTGGCACGACACACGCACACTCACTCGCTTTTCTATTGATATACCGACTCCAAACATGGTTTCAGTCCTGAGCACAGTTTCCTAAATTACTTTTCGTGGAATTATTAAAAAAAGAATGCCAAAACACCTCCCTCAAAGTTGGCTGTTCGATGAGCGCTGCACTCATTATTGGCACCGATTTATGTATTATTTCCAGATCCACTCCACAAGTTCATTTCACATTTAAAGTGGGACATATTTTACAAATGGCTCTCTATAGAATTCATCTCTCATAAAAACGCCTCATTGGTGGTTGCGCACAAATTTCCAGGTTCCCATTGAAAGTGTGTAAAGTGGGCACGTAAAAAAAATTGCTTAGGCGCAAAAGGGAGAATAGGACCCCAACTGAATCAGAAGTGAACCACGTCTATTGTGTTACCAAAGTGGAATCTAATCCGTTTTCAGTCCCACAAGAACGAAAGAAAGCGATACAACAAAGTATCAATGTTCTTACCCTTTGGTGAAGCAGATCGACCTCCGGCAACTGGGTTTGACAATATCCAGGATTAGAGCATACCGCACCAATACTTCAGATGGAACAAGATACTGATCCAAGTCAATATTCTCCTGCGGTTCAAGGAAGTCTTCAATCTGACTGACTGACATATCCTGATTCTGATTCATCTTTCTTTGAGCATCCGTTCTTGTCTCAAGTTTATAAAAGACATGATCTTTCATTTCTTCCTCTTTTGTCTGGCAACTAACTGGCTGTAGAGCGCTTGAAAGTGAAGGCTCCACAGGGGACTCCATCTCAGCAGGGAGCAGCGACATTTGTGAATCCTGTCAAGATAAAGTACTGGATTACAAACTCACATCGGACATTCTGATCACGATGCACAAGTTTCATAAATATTTCCACATCAAGACCTAAACTAAGATATTTACGAAAAGGGTTGCGTGAACAGAGCCCCTTATCCCAGGAAGCAGAGCTCGGCATTCCGTCAGTACAATCAAAGGACCTTTCGGTGATGAACTCCCATTCCACTGATGAAAACGCGCCGATTAGAATAGTGTCACCCTTAAAATTTGTTCTCACTCGTCTTTCGAGGCTGGTGTATGGCAGGTTACAATTATGTTTAGATTGGATGTATTTTTCTGCTGTCTTGCTTTAAATACTGCGTGCAACTAGGCTTTTGCTTGTTACCCCAAAAAAAAAAGGACGTCACAGCTTACTTGGTTGTGATAGACTCATATATCTCTGAATCATACTCATGAATTCCTCTTCACTTTCTTCCGTCCTGGTTGCCATGTGGTCAACATGCTTGCAACGACATCTACATTAAATGTCATTTTCGCAGCTCGGTTGACGTTCCTCACTTCCGCTTTCATCCGATGCACTGATTCGCTAGCTAACGGCCAAGCACGACAGCCCGCCGAACTCACTTCCTTGACGCTCCAATGATTCCGACTTAACGACGGTGCGTTCTGCACCAAGCAGACGCTGCATCCCGACTTTCTGATGGCCGATGCCAGATTGGTGCGTCGAGGCTTTAAACTCCACCCATTGCCTAAGATTGACTCACTGAACCCATCGGGGTCGATCAAATCCAGATTAAGAACCGCTGATATGCAGTTAATGAGCAGAGTAAATACTACTTCACTGAATATTACACTCACCTCTGACTTTGAAGAAATCGATTCTGTTGAAATCTTAGCCATCAGGTAGTAACGTAGTCTTGAATTGGGGATGCCGAACTGGATATCGGAATATAGCAGAAAAATGTTGGCAAAACAAGCAGGCCATTAAGAGACAACCTACCATGTGCTTCTTACCCTCGTGGGAGAGACCATCACCTCCTGGAAAGTGTATCCGCATGTTGTCAGCATTTCGACTAAAGACTGCCTGCAATAGAAAAATCACACGGTAAATTCATCCATCTATCCGTACCGTTTATCCTAACTGGGGCCGCGGGTGTGTTGACGCCTACCCCCGAGCTGACAATGCCTAAGAGGTGGGTACACAAGAACATTTTAATCAGGATTTGGTATGCGAGTCTACAAAACAAACAAAAAAAAAAAGAGTTATGAGCTGTCTGCTGACTGCAATCTGCAAGTCAATAGCGTGATCACCACTCGTCATCATCTTCACAAACCCTGCACATACACTCCTCACAAAAAGTTCGGGAAATTTGGCTTTCGGTGAAATTTCAGGACCAGTTTAAAATGCATTCAAAACATCACAGGTGAACTTAAATGAGAGCTTCTCGAAGCTTTTGACGGCACATGTCAAACTGTTAAATGTTTCAATACGTTTTGCACATGTTGCTGCCCTCGAAAAAGCAAAATTCACAAACAGGTGTTTGGTCCTTGAATCAACCAATAAATGTCCCGGTTCAATTAGCGCTGGCGTTTAAACAGCCATCCTCATCACGCTGTTCACATTTTGCCATCATGAGACCAAGAACAATTCACAATAGATCAACAGTACCTCGCCATTGTGATGCTTCCAACAGGACCTTCTCAGATCAAAATGGCCATTGAGCTTAGTGTCAACACAGTGTGATCAGCATGTTGCAACAAAGATACAGAGAGACTCAAAGAGTCACAGAAAGATGTAGAAGTGGATGTCCTTTGGCCACATCCGGTACTTGCGAACAATGCCCTGAGAAACCGGATCATGAATGCCACTCAAACCCGGGCACATTTAAGGGACGTGAGAGGCACCCAAGTGTCATGTCGGATCATTTGAAACCATTTACATCAGCGTGGTCTGCGTGCTTGATGACCCGCAACGGCACCTGACCACACCACCAGGCACAGGTGTCATGGTCTTGCATGGGCCAGGGAGCATTTATGCTGGACGAGGGACCAATGGGCCTAATTTCAATGCCATTTTTGTCATACATCCGATTATGAAGTCAGTAGTCCTTGGCAGCCCCAAAAGAAGCACTGATGAAAAATTGTGGCCCCCTCAGTCATTTACGTTGCCCATCCCTGTAGTAGATTAATAATCAATGAGTATTTTCACAAATGTTAAGAATAGTTAAAATATTACCTGGCAGAGGAGGTCTCAAAACCTTTGACATTCTCGAGCAGGACATAGCGGGGAAGCTGACTCAGCCTTGAACAACCATGAAATACACATAAAATAAAGAGGCAGTTGTGAGAAGCAGAAGTCAAGAAAACCCAACAATGTAACTTTAACAAGTGAGAAGTTCAAATATTAACTACATGAAGCAATTTCTGGAGTAACTGCGTGTGAATGCTGAACTGCAACATGACAGTTTTCCGGACGATAAATCGCTCCTGAGCATGAGTCACACAAGCAATAAAATGCATAATAACGAATAAAAATAAATAAATTTAAAACACATGAAAGTCGCACTGGAGTATAAGTGGGGGGGAAATTTATTTGAGAAAATCCAATACCAAGAACAGACATGTCATCTTGAAAGGCAAATAAAAATAAAAATAAAATAGTCAACAACAGACTGAATAAGTGTACGACATGCTAACGTTACATGACAACGAACTGAGAACGTGCCTGGTATGTTCACGTAACATATTAAAGAGTTATTCAGATCACGAAAGCATAAAGAACAGGATAATCAGTTTACCAAACCATTAGCGTCACTCCTAATCACTAAATCCAATGAAATCTTCATCCTCGGGGTCACTTTTAAACAACTCCTCCAACTCGGGAGTGTAGAAGATGCTGCACTTCCCCTTCTATGTCGCTTACGTCAGACCAATCATAGATTTATAAATGCGGGCAAAGAGTACCCTCTAGCGGTTTAATGTGAAAATAACACTTGAAATAATATGATAATGTGTTCATAATTTCACACATAGCCAACCCCAAACTACATTTTAAGCACAATGACTGATTATATTATCATGAGACGCGACCGTGAATATATTGAGGTACTTTCAATACCCGATATTGTGAATATTGTGACATCCTGAACAGACAGACTGTACATTTGCATCCACTTGGAGAAAGTATATATACTGATATACAGCATACACTTAAACCCACACGTGTAAACAAACTGTATGCGTCCATATTCTGATGATTCAGGACGACGTGCACATCATATGTATACAAAGACCAGTACACAGTACATTTACTGAGTAAATACAGTATAAGATACAGTATAAAAACCTGGGAAGCAAATACCTTGGCAGAAGATTAAGAATGTAAAGAAAGCTCTTGGTTCTGGGGTCATCAATACCACGTTGGAGTCCCACCCTACAAAGACAGTTACAAATAACATTTAAAAAATGTTCTTATGAGTACAGTAATGGAATTAATATCACACCAACCGTGGTACTATTTTTCTCATTCTACATACGTACAGTTCCGCACAATATTTTTCATTTCAAATTTCCCCTTTCGTTCCGAATGATTTCCAAGCTAGC